GGGGTGGGGGTGGGGGCGCGGCAGGGTCCAGGGAGAAACGAGGCGGCGCCAGCATGGAGAGGCTGGGGCCCTTGGCGTGTACCCCCCCACTCACCCTCCAATCTGGAAACTACTCCAGCCAAGGATGCAGGAGGGGGCAGGTCCGGGGCTGGTAAGGCTGGCCCTCGGCAGCATCCGGGACCCAGACTCGGGCCCCCACCCCCTCGCTCATGGGTTCCCAGGGCTCACAGCGCCTGTGCCAATACTTGCCTGGCACTTTCAGGGGCACCGAGAGGTCTATCTGCACCACGGGTATATGTTCCACTCCGGGCATGTCCTGGTACCGCTGGAGAAGCAAGCAGTGAGCGTTACCAGGCAGGACGCATGGACAGACGGAGACGCCTGAGGCGGGGCCACGGCCCAGGATGACACACGCACGCAGCCGGCGGTGTGTGGGACCCCTGCAGATGCGACGGGGCATCCTGGGGAGCACAGCCCCCTAAAGACTGGGGAACGGTCCGTCAGCACCAACAGGCACAGGGCCGAGGCACAGCTTTCTGTCTGGGTCACCTACTTCAAGTTAGAAAAGCAATGCAGCCCGAACCCCCTGCGAGCGCTAAAATCAAAGTCAGACATCACAGGCGCTGGTGAGGGTGCACGCCAGGTGTGGGCCACCTCGGCCCCTCAGAAAGTTGAGCGGAGCCACGAGGTGACCCGGCAATCCCCAGAGGCGGGAAATGGAGCACCCATACGGAGCTGCGTCTACCAGGGGGAGCCCAGCGGGGGGAGGACACGGAGGAAGGCAGCAGGCACCACCTGGATTAAGATCTAGAACATTCTAGTCATGTGGAATACCCCACATCCACACCTGCTCCCAGGTCTTGGTGCTCAGACCCACCTGGCAGTTGGGCCACGTGGACCTACTGTGACAACCAAACACTGGCCTGGAGCTGGGGACCCCTGGTGTCCTCCCGAGAGCGGATGGGGGCGCTGTGGGGCTCGGGGGAGGGGAGTGTCTCTCAAGGACGACCTGGGGCCAGCCTCACCTTTTGGGGAGATGGGGAACTTTTGATGTAGAAAGGGTTGTTAGCCTGTTCCTGCTTCCGGGCTTCTCGACGCTGCAGGGACAGGATTCGAAGTGCAAGTCAGTGAATGCACGTGGAACAGACCCTCCCTTCCAGGCACGGACTGTGTCCATGTTCCAGGCCCCAGGTGGGCCCGGAATGCCCCAGTACTTTACTGGTGGCCCTTGACCAATAGGGAGACCGCAGCAGGAACAAGTGGGGGGACAGCAAGAGCTCAGAAAAGACCCCAGGATGTGGAGATGGCCTTCTGTTTCAAGGATGTGAGCTCAGAGAGGTTGGGTGAGCTGTCTGAGGTCGCTCAGTAACAAAGAAGAGCTGAGCTGGGGGTCAGATCACACTGCCTGAAGGCTCAGCTTGCAGATGGGCAGGAGGAGAGCAGGACAGGCCACGAGGGGACCCCTTATTTCAGGACGATAAGGCATGGTGTGGTGGGGAGCTGAGGGGATGCAGCATCTCTGGACTTTCCTGAGCTGTCTGAATGCTGCATGTTGTTATAAAACCCTCCACCGGAGGGGCGCCCGCAGGGCTCAGTGCGTTGAGCATCTGACTTCGGCTCAGCTCACAATCTCACAATTCATGAGTTTGAGCCCCGTGTCAGGCTCTGTGCTGACAGCTCAGAGCCTGGAACCTCTTTCAGATTCTGTCTCTCTCTCTCTTTCTGCCCCTCCCCCACTCACGCTGTCCCAGTCTCTCTCTCCCAGCTGGATGATAAACATTAAGAAAAAACTTTTTTTTTTTTTTAACGTTTATTTATTTTTGAGACAGAGAGACAGAGCGTCAATGGGGGAGGGGCAGAGAGCGAGGGAGACACTGAATCGGAAGCAGGCTCCAGGCTCTGAGCCGTCAGCCCAGAGCCTGACGCGGGGCTCGAACTCACGCCGCGAGATCGTGACCTGAGCTGAAGTCGGACGCTTAACCGACTGAGCCACCCAGGCGCCCCAAAAAAAACCATTTTTTAAAGTAAAATAAAATCTTCCAAGGGCGCGGCCTGGGTGGCTCAGTCGGTTAAGCGTCCAACTTTGGCTCAGCTCACGGTATCACGGTCCGGGAGTTCGAGCCCTACGTTGGGCTCTGTGCTGACAGCTCAGAGCCTGGAGCTGCTTCAGAGTCTGTGCCTCCCTTTCTGCCCTCCCCCGCTCATGCACGTGAGCACATGCGCTCTCTCTCTCTCTCCCCCCCCAAGATAACCATTAAAAAAGGTTTTTTTTTTAAATAAAAGACAATAAAACCCTCCACCCAGAAGGCACGAGTGAAACCCCCTGCATGCCAAACCAGGCCCCATGACTCTCTCTGAGAAGCTCAGGCCTTAAAAGAAACCACTTCTCATTTGCACAAAACCCAACCCAGACCTCCCAGGATGGTTCAGTGCTCCCCTGAGGGTACTGGGACAAAGCTCAGATCGGACAGGACAGGAACGTGCTCAGCCACCTGGGGGGTCAGGGTCGAGGGTCTGCTCTGGGCGAGGCCGTCCGCCCCGGAGGCCCCAGTGGGAACAAAGCCCGGCCTCCCCGCACCCGGTGCTCACCCGGGCCAGCTCCTCCTCCTCTGCCTCCGGCTGCCGCTGCTTGGCATGGCGCTGCTCCTCGTCGTGGAAGATGGCCTTGGGCTTCTCGTCCTCAGACTCGCTGTCCGAGGGCGGCTCATTGATCCAAGCGTCCAGGTCCAGGCTGTAAGATGCAGGGAGGTCACAAGGCAGCTCCAGCCCAAGTGCCAGCCTCGCACGCTCATGGGGCAGATGAGACAGGGACACCCCTGTCCTCTCGGAGACGAGGACGCAAAAGCTAGGCCGCCACTTGAGATCATGGCTGCCCAGTGAGAGTCTACGGGCCCCTCGTGACCCTCCTTGTTTTCTGGGGACCCCGTGCCAGCTCATCATACCCGGTATCTGTAGGCAAGGGCTGCCCCGTCTACTTCCGGGGGGCGGCAGCTGGGACAGGGACACCAGTCAAGACCCCACTGTGGTTCTTTCACTGCTCTTCCTGCCATCCTGGCCCATGTCCTCTGACAGGCCGCGCAGCTCACCCTTCAGGAACTGGAACCTTCTTCTGCGCCTTGGGAGCCACTGGGTTCAGCTCTCCAGCAAAGAGGGCACTCACTTCTTCTGCTACCGGCACGTCCTTGGCCTGAAGCTTCTGGATGTGCTTGACCAGCTGCAAGACGCAGGACGCCTGAGGAGACCACAGGGGAGTCACAGTTTGGTCACGGAGGACTGGCCCTGTAGGCCACTTAGCACCCTAATGCATTGCCCAGCCCAGGAGAGTGGCTGCCTCTCGTCTGACCCTACTGAGAACATCTAGAAGGCACTGAGAGCAGCACAAGAGTGGGCTCAGTTTGCGCTCTCTCAAAACAAATAAACGTTAAGAAAATATACACGTGTGTACGTATATACCAAAGGCACCGAGAGAAACCACGGGCCACAAAGAAGCACCCGGGGAGGAAGATACCGGCCCTGGCCGCCGTGTCAGTCTGCAGGAGACAAAGACTGAAACGGGCCCCCAAACAAGACGGAGTCACAAGCAGAGACAGCACCGTCCTCCGAGACCCAGACAACCCAAAACACCAACTTCCAGGAGGCACCGGGCGCCACCGTGCTGCCCGTCCTCTGCGGACTCCGACCTGGGACTCGGCTCGAGTGCGGCTCCCAGCCTGACTCAGGGCTCGAGGCCGGGGCACTGAACGCTTCTGTGAGGTCTGGATAACTGAGAGCCCTCCGCTGCCCCTGGGGCACCAGAAACGGCCACCCCGAGCTCCCTCCCGCCCGCCTGCTATATGCAGCACGTGCCAGACCAGTCTCCCCGCAGCAAGCAGCCCGGTCCCCGGCCACCCGCCACCCCACCCAGGAACCTGCTGCCAACCGGCTTGATTCCGATACTTCCCGTGCAGGCCGGCACCTCCCACTCGTTCCTTCTCTCACGACCTGCCCCCTTCTCGCTGCACTCCACCTGCGGGGGACCAACCGGGGCCTCCCCCGCCGCGGGGGCCCAGAACCCGCCCACATCCCCGGGGCCGGGAGGGAGCCCCGGAAAGCAGATTTCTCCCAAGATGCCCTCTGGGAAAGGCGAAGCCGGCCACAAACGAGAGACACAGGCTCTTCCGGAGGCAGACCCTCAAGAAACGCTCACCCGCTCCTGGACCTCCAGGTCCGCGCTCTGCACAAACTGGGGCAGCCGCTCCACCATGAGCTGGGTGACGTCCTGGGCCGCCTCCGGCTCCGCCGCCTGCTCCTTCTGCTGCAGGATGGACGCGTAGAGCTTGACCACGTTCTGCACGTACACGGCCTGGATGTGGCCGGGTAGGGTAGTGACTTTAGGCCGCAGCATGGCCTCGAGGGTCTGCTGGGGCTCCTGCAGGTGCCTGCGGACAAGAAGGGCCTGATGAGCAGGCCGCCCCGCCACAGGGGTCACGTGGGCGCTCCCCCATCCCCAGGCACCAGGGCAGATGGACGGGACTCTAGGGAAGAAGCCACAGCAACGACGGGATGACGACGGAGTAGCAGCACACACAAAAAAAAAAAACGAAAAGAAAACAAAACCAGCTTGACAGCATCGTTGTGGCGACAAAACATCCGCGGCTGCGACGGGCAGGGAGGAGAGGACACTGGAGAGAAACCCCGTCACCCCGGGCCACGCCGTGACCGGCTCCTCGCTGGGGCTCGTGGTCGGAAATGTGCACTTAAAGCCGCGCTGTCCCCAGAGACAGCGGCCCAGGAAGGGGGCCCTGGGGCAGCCGCCAGGGAATCGGGGACGCGGGTCGACCAGCACGCCTCTCCCTGGGGAGCACACTCACTCGGAGAACTCCCCGCAGATCCAGGCGGCCGCGTAGAGCACCTCGCAGATGCCGTTGCGCTGGGTGCTGCTGGCCACCAGGTGGGCGCTGTCGAGCAGCGCAGACATCTGCGACACGGCGAACTTGCGGATGGCCTTCACGCGGATGGCCACGTCCAGCATCTGCGCGGCGATGAGGTGGCCGTGGCGGGTGCCTTCCAGCCGGGTCAGCTCCACCAGGACGCTGATGTACCTGCGGGAGGGAGCCCTTGAGGAGCGCGCCCCGCGCCGGCGCCCGCCCCCCGGGGCTGTGGGGCACGGACCACTGGAAGTTGGTGATGTGCTGGTAGTTGCACTGGCTGCAGATGTCGATGATCTTGGTGAGCAGCTCGTCGCGGTAGGTCGTGCCCTCGGCCTTGTCCACGTGGCTCATCAGCTTTTTGACGATCTCCACCAGGTTCTTCTTGGACACCTGGGGGGAGGGAGGAGCCGGTGAGGCAGGAGCCCGGGGACGGGTGTGGGGAGCGGGGAGCACAGACCGGGGCGGGGCACACACCATTCCGTACAGGAGGTCGAGGGCCCGCAGGCGGATGGACTCGTCCTTGTCGTCCAGACATTGCAGGACGAGGTCCTTGTGGGCCTGCACGGACTTGGGGTGCGTCCTGAGGATCTTGGACATGGCCAGCAGGCCCAGGTATTTCACTGCGGAGACGGCGAGACACCGTTAGCACGGACGCACCTTCACAGCCCTCGGGGCCTGTGCGGAGACAGCGACGACGTGGACGCCGCCGGGACGGGCCGCACGCTGGCCCCCGGGTGTCCTCAACAGTGGGCGCTGCAGGCCAGGTGACCTCCCGCATGCGGGGCGCCACTGTCTCCCCCTCAGCAACCCACACACGGGGTCGCCGAAGCAGGGCAGTGAAGCGTGGGCCTCCACGGGCCAGGTCCCAACAGAGCCTGTTTCTGTAAAAGCCTCGCGTGAGCACGTGGCCCGTGGTCACGACGGTGGGGGCGACGGGGCCCTGTCTGGCCCTTCGCAGGACAGGTCCGGCAGCCCCTGCTGCCAACAGATCTGGACTGAAAACGTGGAGCCAGTGCTCCCGGGCCCTCAGGAGCCCCTGGTGCTCCGGTCCGGGCTCCGGGGCGCGTGACAGGCCAGAAGCCCTGATGGAGCATGTCTACAGAACACGCAGGCGCACGAGCAAGGCCAACGGGGGAGCCAGCCCCCCTGGACGGTCCCGGGGAGGCCTCAGGCAGGAGACATCAGTGCGGCTCCGGGCCTCATCCTGCAGCTCTCCTCTGACCCCCCGACTGCGTCTCCCCAGCAGCCCCCTCAGCTCCACGCTGGAACTGGGGCTCAGGGACCTCGCCCGGGTCGCAGCCCCCCAGGGGCCTGGGCACACGACCCGCAGTCTCAAACTCCGCCGGCTGAACGCGGGAGGGGCCGTCACCACTGAGCCACACACTGAGACGGCGGCGCACGAGGGCAGCGGGCAGGGGCTGCGGCCAAGTGGAGAAAGACTGGCTTCTTTAAAACGCTGCCGAAGCCCGCGGCACCCCGCACACACTGGGGGGGCACAGCGGAAGACTCCCAGCGCCTGTGCTCGTGCGGGATCGAGAGCCCCAGCGCCACACAGGCTCCGGGTGCAGGTACAGAGAGGAACTCACAGTTCTGGTCGGAATCTTCTATCAATATCCTCAACTTCTGGACACAGAGCTGCAGAGGGGAAGGAGACAGTGGTCACGCCTCTGAGACAACGGTGAATCCCATGATCCCAGGTCTGCCTCGCACCCTGGTCCCGCTCACAGGTCCTGGGACCAGGAGGGGCAGGGGGACACCCGGCTCCACTCCACGCGGCAGGAGGGCAGCCTGTGGGCTCCAACAGGGACATACATAGTTTGGGGACCGCCCACGTACACACTCCAGGGGCACAAACGTGTGTTCCCCTTGCTCCCTTGTCAACTCCATAGACGCGTGTTGCACAGGGCCTGGCGCAGGGCACGACGCGTCGGGATAGTCAGGGGGGTGGGGGGGGCGTACCTGGATGCTGGCGCTGTGGTTCGGCATGCCGGAGGACAGGGAGATGAGCACTGAAACAGAAAACCTCGTCTCAGGGACTCGCCAGTCCTCGCCCCACGTCCTCTGGGGGCGTCGGTCGGGGCACCACATAGCACGGGCACGCCTGGCACTCTCCCAGGACAGGCCGGCTTATGAGACCGCGTCTGGAACCTGACTCCGGGGCTCCTGCTGCCCTTGCCGGCGGGGGGCTCGTGTCCCGGAGCTGTCTGTGCAGACAGGAGTTTTGGGCCGAGGACCCGCTGCCCTCCTGGGGTCCGGGGTCTCCGCCCGAGCCCGGCAGAGGTGCCTGCTGACCGACCCCCGGTGAGAACCTGGGCGCTGGGTCTCTGTGGCCAAGAACACAGAGCGCCCCGAGGCAGGCACCCCCCGTCTGGGCAATTTCCAGAGCCTGCTCCACCCCCACCTGAGACCCACGACCCTGCAACGTGCCAGGCCCGCCCTGGCCTAGTCCTCCCAGATCTCCTGCCCGTCACCAAGGATAGCTCTGATCCTGCCACACCTCGGTCCCCCCATCGACACCTCCAGACACAGAGAGACCCCTCCACGTTCTGCGTTGGCTGCCTCTGGGTGCCAGCCTGCCCCAATGCCCACCCGCCCGCCCTCCCTTTCTACTAGCGTCACTGAGCCTCTGAACACCCATGGTCCACGCAGTTCCAATCACAAAGCGTGGACCCTGGGCCAGCCTCCTGTGAATGAATTTCAGGCTGTCCCCGGGCCTGTGAAGAGGGACCAGAAGGCTGCCTTCCCAAAAGCTTTGGCCAGATAATCAGGCAGAGAGCAGGTGAACCCATGGGCCACTACATCCAGGAACAAGTGACCCAGACGGCAAACTAGGACAGGGCCAGCCGGCCTGGGGGCGACTCTGGCTCCGCCAAACACAGCAGGTGGAGGGACAGACGCACCCCCCAGCGCTCTGTGTGGCCTGCAGCTGGACTCAAGCCAGGGAAGCGCCTTCCGATCCCGCCCTGTGAAACCTTCCCGTGGTAGGTTCTGTGCTCGAGAGTTCACGGGGGACGGCACGGGGCCGGAGCCTCGCTCTAGAATACTCAGGAAGGAGAGTCTTGCTGGCAGGGGAGGTGCATGGCTGAGGGCGGCAGGACACGGCACTGGAGGCCGGAGGCGGGCAGGGGCCCTGGGCGTATGTGTCCTACGGCCGGTTGTGGCCCCCGGGGGTCCCGATGGGGGAGGGCGGGCCCCTCACCTGCGATGACGGTGTTCACGCACTCGTACAGAAGAGACATGGCGGATGTGCTGGCGGAGGAAGAGCAGAGGGTGAGGACTGGGAGGCCCGAGGCGGAGGCAGGCCTGGTGGCCCCGCACGCTCCCGTCGCGGCAGTCCCCGGGGGGACGCTAGCCTCCCTTTCTAACCGCCGGCGGTGACCTCTGATGTCCCCAGAACCCGTTTTGTGATGTCCGTGAGGGAATGCCACCTGCCCTAAATGTCTCTCCGGACCTGGGACGGCCCCCTGCCCCGCCTCAGGGGCCCACACACAGGTGGGCACAGCACAGACGTCCATGGCCCCATTGCTTCCCCTGGGGGCGTCCAGTACAGCCCAGGGTGACACCCACGGGCAGGCACCAGGTGCGTCTACTCCACTCTGACATCCTCCGAGGTGACGCTCTTGATCCCGAGTCACCTAAACCTGACAGCGTGGCCGCCACCTGTCCCAGAGAACAGGGGCCATCAGCCCGTCCACACCATCGTCACGAGACTCATGGCTTCCTGTTAATCCCCTCTGAAGACCACAGAGCCGCACCACATGCAAAGATGCCTGTTGTTTAAAACCGAAGATGCTCTGAGCCCAAGGCCTCACGCAGGGCACGTGGCGCTAGGTCTGATGCGGCCACGAAACCCCCGTTCCTCCCACCGCCCATCCTCCCAGGTCCCCTGGAGAGCAGATCTCTGGTGCCATCTGCCACTCAGCGTCCGTGATTCAAGCGCAGGCGCCCCGAGTGGAGTGGGAGCTCTTGCAACATTCCGGAACTGGCCAGAGACCCAGCCAGACGGCCAGGGCCTACTGGGGAGCTAGGGGTCTTCCCTCCTTTTGTTTTCACTGGTGCTGTTTCCAAAACGGATTCACAGCCCCCAGTGTCCCGGGGGGGGGGGGCCGGCGCGAGCCTCGGTGGCACAGCTCACGGTCCGGAGCCAAGTCCCATGGCGTGTGTTTGCTTCTTGCCACCAAGACTCTCCCCGGGTCCCCCCGAGGGCCCAGAGGGGGCACGGGGCTGCGTGCGGCAGACGAGGTCACGTGGGGGTCGAGGGCTCACCTGTGGATCAGGTTGGTGAGAGGCTCGATCAGCTTCTTGCCCAACCTTGGCTCCAAGGGGGTCAGAGCACCAAACTAGGGACGACAGAAGCCGGGGGGGTCACTCGTGGCAGGAACAGAACCGTGCGGACTCCGACCCGCGCCCACACGCCCAGGGGACTCCTAGGACAGGCCGGGGCCGTTTTGTGTGGCGAGGAAGGGAAGGTCAGGAGGGATACTTGCCAGTTTGATAATCTTGATGAGGACCCAGTTGTTGGTTGAGGAGGTCATCAGCTTGAAGAACAGAGGGGCAAGGGAAAGGTAGTTTTTGGGGTTACGCCTGGCCAGTTCACAGATGACGTTGACTGCGGCCGACTGGACCCCTGTGAAATAAGGGGGTGTCCCATCAGCAAGGGAGTCCCTCTGCAGCAGTTAAGAGTCTCAACAACACGGGGAGGTGCAGCCTTCTCGAGGAGGGGCGTCCTCCTCAGGCTGGTCCCCCCAAGCGCAGGGAGCCCTGCTCTGTGCCTGGCACACTGCCCATCACCTGTGGGCCGGGCTGAAGTACCAGTCACGTCAGGGTTAGGCTCCCAGCGGCCAAGGCAACAGACACGACCCGTCGCCTGAGTCTGTGGGCTGCTCCCCTGCAGGTCCCAAGGAACTCCGGGCTCAGGACACCCACCACGCCTGCCGCCTCACTCCTACTTTCCTACCAAAACTTTCCACGGCCTGTGATTCTCCCGAGAGACAAGCTGGGACCTGCCTTGTGTCACAGAAGCCACCTGACACTGCTCTCAACGAGGGAAGGATTTATAGAGGACAAGTAGGCACGAGCCCCGTGGTGGGGACCGGGGCCAAGACACCGGCATCAAGTCGTGAGCGCTAAGGTGTGAACAGACGCGGGCGCTCCCCAGTGTGGGGACGGCGGGGGTCTACTGAGAGGCTGGAAAAAGGGCAGCCCGGCGGCAAGGGGACACCCAGCACCCAGAGCTCGGCGCCTAAACCCCACACCAACAAACGGGGCCAGGCTCCTTGGAGAAATGGCGGGTTCCAGGCCAGAGCGCGGGAAGCAGGCGCCAGAAGGGAAGGAGGCGCTGTCTGGAGAGATCCCAGGACGCGAGACCGGGACCCAGTGGCCCTTCAACGCCCTCCTTGCAGCATCCTGCACCAGGGGCTCACAGATGCCACGGAGCCCTGCGCCCCCAGCCACCCCCTCGCCGATCGACAAACCGGGATCGGGGTCCTCCAGCTTCTCCTTCAGGCGGGGGAAAGCGGGGCGTAGGGACTCGGGGTACTTCAGGAACACCTTGTACATGATCAGGACAGCCTTCTTCCGAATGTACGGCTTGGTGTGCGACATCTGCAGGGACAGAGGTCCGGTCAGCCTCCCCGCCGCACCGCTACTCTCCCGGCGCCGGCCCTGCTCACCTCCCCCGCTGCCCCTGTCGCCCTCCCCGCACCCACCCAGCTCACCTGTCCTGCTCACCTGTCCTGCATCTGCCCGAGTCTCCCCTCCATCACCCGAAGGAAAGCCCTCTCTCCAGCTCATCTGGTTTCTGGCCTCCAAGCCAGGCCTGCTCACCTGCTCCACTGCCCCCCGCCCAGGGGTCACATGATAGTGTCGTGGACAGAACTGAAACCTGCTTCCCTGTGCCTGTGACCCCAGGTCTGCCTTCCGGAGGCTGAGACCCTTGTCATACACCGGCTGGAACCCGATGAGGGACAGACAGAGGGACGGGGCCCTGAACTGGAAAGCAAGCCTCTGCCTCACGAGCCTCCGGCTGCCGAGGCCCGTTCCCACAGCAGGGTGCCAGGGCCCCCTCCACACGTGACCGTCTCGGACTCTTGTCCTTTCGGGACTCTGCTCTGGCCAGAAAGGCCTCCTGCCTCTGACGCGCATGGGCCCTGAGGACCTTGCCCCGAGAGAGCTCCCAGCCCCACGACCCAGCACCGTCTGGGCCGGAAGGGCAGAACTCTTGCTCCGGCTCTCGAGAGCCACCAGGGACACGATGTGAACGAGTGGGCGGGGCCGAGTGCGGGCAAAGTCAGTTACGACCGGGCCAGCTGCATGGGGCAGGGCCGAGGCGCACCGGCCCCCGTTCTAGAAGCTGCTGGCACTCACAGTCTGAGACCACAGGCTGAGACTGATCCATCCACACGGCAAACAGGCTGACCTGGACGGATGGACCTGTCCAGGGGGAACGCAGCCGCCCTTCTGCTCTGCCCAGATAAAACCGGATGGGAAAAGGCCTCCCAGTTAGCTGAAGATTCAGGTGTACGGCTGGTGCCCCTGAGGACCACGATTTCTAAGAGGACATCTGCGTTTTAGAAAGATGCTCCGACAGCCTAGAGAGGAGCCCTGGGTGGGGTCCTGGCCCTTCAGGTGGACCGAACCACCGAAGTCAAGTTGTGGCCAGAGGAGAACACAGCATCAGGGGTGGAGCCGGAAGAACCACGCTAGCCACGTGCAGGGCCTGCTGCCACAACCGCCACGGCCACCACCGGGCAGGGAGGCGGTAAGTGGCAGGGACGCGCCGGAGGACGTGGGCGCTCGCCCCGGGCCCCGGGCAGGGCCAGTGAAAGAAGGTGACGAAGGGATGTGAGGGTGGAGACAGCCGGAGCCCGGGGCCCCACCGGTGAGGGGGTGGGGGACACGGCAACCCGGTTCCCCGTCTCTTCCGGGGGAACCCGGCCCACTCCCACGTGCCCGAGTGTCCCTGGTGTGACGGTTAACCTCCATTTTCCAGGCACCTGGACGGACCAAGTCACGTCACGGGGCAAAGGCCAAGGGGGGTCGGGTACTCTCACAAACTCACCAGTGTCATGATGTCGTTGGCCAAGTCTCTGGCAAGATCTGGGGTAACAAAACAGGACAGGCCAGTCAGTGCAACGCCAGTGTCGTACTGGCTGGGGCTGCTCAGGTCCTGGAAAGGGAAGGAGGAGGGTCAGCGGGCAGGTGCCACCCGGGCATCACGGGCTCCCGGCCCGCAGTCTGGGGCTGTGCCTGTCTGAGGAGTAGCGACCAGCAGCCCATTCTGGGACTGTCCCGGAAGAGCTGGGACGGTGGGAGAGCCGTCCCCGCCCCGCTGGGCACAGAGGCCCACGGCGGGCACTGCCCTCCGCACAGACACAGCCCGGTGTCCCAGGGCCGTGACCACAGGCGGGGCCGAGCCTGTACCAGTGCCCGGCTCGCGAGCTGCCCGCCTGTCTGTGATCCCCGACGTGAGGGGAAGGCACGTCCGGCTGGCCCTAACCGCCCCTAACCGCCCCCCAGGCCTGCGGCGGGGGTCCCCAGAGCAGAACCAGGGGCCACTCCTCCGGCCCCGCCCAAAGGCACGGCACCTACGGCCCAAGGCTCGTGTTTCGGGCCGGCAGCTGCCAGAGGCCTCTGGTTACACAACGCAGAAGGGCCCGGCCTCCACGCCAGGGAAGCATCATCTGTGCCAGAAATCTGCCCTGGGGATGCTTTCCTAAGGAACCCCCCAAACCCCATCTATACGTGGTAAAAACAGACTGAGAGGCATTTTAGGAGTTGAGCTTCCAGACTGTGGGGACAACCTGAAGAGGCCAACCTCGGAAACCCACTCCAGCCCAGGCTGACAGGACGGAACCAAGGGGGAGCCCAGGCCCTGGACGGCCAGGCTCCTACTTCAGCGAGACTTACGCGGGGCTTTTCAGAGATAGAAGTTTCTGGGGAGAACGCCTGCATCACCATTAAGTGGGAGGAGCCCCAGCCGAGGGGATGGGGGTGGGGCCGGTCTGCGGAAGCCGTGTTTCAGAAGTCACGGGTTTATTTAAATGACACACGTGGGGGCTCAGTGGGTTCAATGTCCAACTCTTCATTTTGGCCCAGGTTGTGATCTCATGCGTTTGTGAGATCGGGCCCCATGTCGGGCTCTGTGCTGACAGCAGAGACCTAAGCGACCCGCCTCTAGCACATGTCCACGCAGAGATGTCTGAACGGAGGTCCTTACAAAGGGGTGGGTGGGGGCACGGCTGCGCCTTGGCACTGGGCCAGAGACTGTTCTCGCCGGGCGGGCGGGCTGGCGCCTGGGGGTCCAAGCAGCCGGAGCCCCCCCCCCCCCC